CAGTCGCTGACGCTGCCCTACGCTGACGCAAAGTACGAACGTAGCCTGAGTTCGATCACATGAGGAAAGGAGGGTGTGAAGGTGGCCTGAGTAACTCCTAACCATCAAGGACCTGTCGATATGTAATGACAGAGCAAGACAAAGCGATAGCTTTCACTCTGCAGTGGTCGCTACTAAAGGACGCAGCGAATATCGTGGCAGGACGAAGAAACCAAGGTTACACCCCACTTCTAGCACGTAGGTTTCCTCTGGGTATTAATCACTGACACAAGAAAACCAGAGAATACCTCCGAACCCAAGTAACGGGAATTCTTAATCACTAACCATGAGCAATTTGTGATTCGAGAGCTACATTATTCTTCTGCATCTTTGCGATGGTCTGCTGCAAGGCATCCTTTTCCGAATCAGCATTGCTAATTTCACGGCGAAGAGATCGAAGATGTGCTTCTCGACCTGAAAAGTAAAGAGAACAAGTTACACGCAAGATCCACTGAAGTGCTGCAGAATGACACACTTTTGTTATATTCTAGAAACTCAGTACTGAAAATCGAAATGTTGGAGTTTGGCAACGTAGGTACCACCATTTCGTCTTTGTCAGCATTCTGCAAAACACAAGTATTTGGCAAAAAAAAACAGCCGGAGATCAGGAAGCAACGGCCTTTGAAGGAATAGGAAAGCCGTAAATACCTTGTTTTTAGGGAGCGCTTTCTTCTGTCTTCTTGGTGTCCTCGTTTAGTTCTTCCAGATCTAATGATTCACCGAGTTCTTCCTTGGGGTTCAATCCCAATCTACGGCGCTGCTTTCGTAACCGCATAATTTGCTCTTTCTTCGCTAAAAGAATGAATAATATATTACTGTGATCCCAGAAGAGTTGTGCATACGACTTGTCAACCGGAAGAAAAGAATGAATCAGTTCAAGAGTTTAATTAAAAGCAGGACAACTGGGGAGCGAGATATCTACCCTTTCGAGCTCCCCATACGGGTCAACTGGCTTACTGACAATGAATGATAACAAATTCTGCAAAATGTCACTGTCGGTCAAATGATGAAAACCTGAGAGAAAGGAATGGTCGTGAAGAAACGAAGAAAACAGGTGATTAGTTGGTAGAAACAGGACAAGATAAAACCATAAGAAACCATGAACTAGCTAAGAGAGCTGAAAACAAACCTATAAACTCCTTATAGTGGTCGGTTTGCTCATATGCCTTCAGCTCAATTTGATATTGCTCACGTTCCTTGTTGGCCAAATCGAGGAATGGCTAAAAAGGGAAGTACTGCGATAGGGAGAAAAAAATTATTAAAAACCACGAAAAATTCAGAGTTCACGACCATTCTTCACTTTCGAATATTTTGAGGTCAAGTAAATATCTTAGGAACAAATTCACGAGAATTCACACATCATGCGATCCGAAGATGACAGCTGTTCCAGAGCGATCACCGCCTGGATTTCATAGTACCTCGAACAAACTTTGGACGACTGCCTACCGCATATCAGACTTCTTCGTGGAGGCTCAAAACGAATGAAGTTTGTTGTGTTAGGGCTACAGAGAACTCCACTGGGCCACTCCTTGCATTTGCAGGAACGAATGGAGACGTTAGTGGTGTCAGCTCGAGTAACTCGATGATCAGCAGGAGCAGAAGTGATGCAGATTTTATTCACGAGGAACTTCCCGCGACTACCATACAACAAATCGAATTTTGATCTGTTTTTCATATACGAAATGATAATTATGGCAAAACTGAAGAGATTCTAGTTTTGACACGCCATTACGGAAGGGACAACTTGACGAGAAGAGCTAAAAAGGAGACCTGTGATGCGAAGAAGAATGAACCGAGGCTATGTAACTGTCAGGCGTCGGCGTGCAGGCAATGTAACTGGAAACTGATGATCTGGGAAAGCCTGGTCTGGGAAACCAGATTCATTGAGGATGACCAACAGACGAAGACTATGGGTTTCAATGCCGCTCTTGTGAGTTGGCATCAGATACGGTGGCAAGTTTGGAAAAAATGTCACACCTCAACAGCTTGACGTGTCCAGAAGGAACCAAACAGAATCCATGAGTGTTCACAAAAAAAAGCGGCGTGGTCTGCATGAGCCCTCAGATCAAGAATCAAAAAAAAAAACGAGTTTGAAGTTCGCTTGCCATAATCAATACCTTGAAGAGGGAGAGCATGAGCTCTGTCGAAAGTGATGATTTTGAAGAGCAATAACTCCTGCTTTTATTTGGGCATATGTGCAAAATTTGAACTCCCAGTAAGTGTGAAGAGCTTTTCTCTCAACTTTACGGAGGGATACAGAAGGTGTAACAACTAGAGAATTGGGGGAACAAGAACCGCTCAGTACCTGACGTGTTCGGTGCCGAAACTGATTGCCGCCTTCAGGTGGCAGCTTAACGCAACATTTAGTACTTTTCGTGATCGCATCTAGCTTTACTGTAAGTCTCAAGTCTTTCGAGCGGCGTGAGCTAAACACGGAATTGGAAAAAAATTCGAAAAATAAGTGAACGACAAAAGAAGTCTCACCTTAGGAAATGTACATAGCCAGAACGAGGTTTTCGCGGAGCATGCGGGTCCTCAACTTTGGTCCACGTCCTTCCGGTCACACCGGGTTTCTGAATAAACATATGAAAATAAGCCTTTTCTGGAGTTTATGCAAGGCCCACTCATGTATAGGGCGCACCACCGCGATTTTGCATGCAAAAAAGGCATGTCCACCAACTCTTCGCGCGCGACTCTTCGACGTGCGCCAGCGCCGGAAAACAGGGTAAACTGACTGCTGAGCCTTTTGAAACTCAATAGCACATTGACAATAGCAATAGCTAAGGAGCCATGCCGTTTCTCCAGTCAGGCTAGGTGGGAAATCTCCACTGAAACATAACAGACACGACAACAACAACTAAGCTCCCTGTGACGGCATTTCTCGAGGAACCAGATGAATTAGTAAACAATATGGCTCAATACTGTTCTGAGCGCCAATAATCTGGGGTGGGGAGGGGGGTGCCACACTTGTAAGCTCTTATCAACATACCTGATCGGTAAACCGTATGCATGCGAATACCGCATAACCTTGTCAACAACCTGTAAGCCTTGTCATCACCTGTCGGCACCCTGAAAACTCGTGTCAAACTTGTCTTAACGACAGTCCAGATTTGGAAGAAACTAAATGACGCTAGTGACATTTCGCCAAGTATGACAGGAGTTTACTGGGTACTTGACTGGAAACTTACAGGGCTTGCAAAGTGAGACATGACTGTGAGAAGACGAAAGAAAAAACAGAGTTCAAAGAGATGCACACGTTGAAAAGCGCTTACAAGTGTGGCACTCCCCCCCCCTCCCTGAAGTGTACATATGAGGGCCCTGCTCCGTTCCGGAGTCCGAGTTGGTCCTTATTAATGTGAAACAATGGGAAAAGGAGAGTACTTCTTATGGGAGCGATTCTCACACTACTTCGGAAACAGATTTCGGGAGTGGTCCAGAACAGCTTTCAGGAACAGTACACTAATAACAAAAGGTAAAAGATCATGTCCAACCTTGTCCTTCTTACTTTTGTAACGTCGTTTTCGTGATCGCTCGCTGTAAAGTGAGGCCTGACTATCATAAGAACTGTCAAATTCAGTTTTGACAACAACTCCACTGCTCATGCTACCTTCAGAAGTTTCCTAAAATTCCCACTAAAATTTGATTCATACTGAGGAAGCCGCAGCACAGCACAACAGATCTCAACTGATAGCGTTTCGAACATCAACATCGAAATCACGAAAATCAATTC